CAATCGTTCAAGTCCCAGACCCAGCTACTTGTCTTCTCACTTTTCCCCTTTTCCTCTGGTCAAATTAAAAATAATAATAAATAATAATTTAAAAATTAAAAAATAGAATAAAAAGACACCAAGAATTGCTATGTGGAGATTAGACTATGAAAAGTTGAGAGTGAAAGAAGAAGAGTTAGGAGCTAGGTAATAATTCTGAGTGAAAACTGAGTGGCTTGAGAGGAGGGTGGGGGAGATAAAGGTTGAGCTAAGTGGTCCAGTTCTGGAAGGCAGAGCTACCAGGAAAAGGGGACAGATAATCAGGACTGGGACTGAGAAGACACGAATGGAAATATGGGAAAATTCAAATCACGTACAAGAAACTCTTGAGCCTAACTTTTCACCAGGCTGGTGTGTGGCTATCCAAGTGGTATATGTTAAGGGCAGAAAGTTTCCAAGTAACATTTCAGGCGATGGTGGTTCTTGGAGTCAGTTCACTCACTTAACTCACTTGTTAACTCAAAAACCATTTCTTGAGACTTTCTCTGTGTCAAGAAAGCCTTTGGTATTGGAATATGAATGAAAGAGATTGGGCTCCTCTCAGAGAGGAGAAAGGAGAGATACATATGCAGACAGCCCAGTGCCTGGCAGCAAGTCTGTAGTAGAAGCCACCAGGGACTCTAAGGGCACAGATGGGGTGGGGGTGAGAGGATGTCCTAAAGGAGAGGACGCGTGAGCAGAGTCTGGACAGATGAATAGGCAGATAAAGGGAGAGAGGGAGGCTGGCCTTCTAGGCCAGAGGACCCCACTTGCACGTGTGGAGATGGCGAGTATGCGCTAGAGGATGACCATGTGGCTGAAAGAAACTCAGACAACTTCCTCAAGATCTTTTCTTTTCTTTTCTTTTCTTTTTTTGGAGAGGTTTTTGCTATCGGGTGTGTGCACTCGCCAGACAGACAGAGACAGAAAGCTAGAAATCAGAGACCAGCAGTTAGCGTAATGGCTATGTTGCTGGACTCCCATGTAGTTGACCACGGTTCGAGTCCCTGACCCAGTGGCTTAAACTCATGCCAGGCGTGTGTGTGTGTGTGTGTGTTTCCAAGATCCCGAGAAGAGAATAGAGGAGAAGGGATTGTGGCGTGGCCATCGCCCCTGGAGGATGATTTCTCATTTTCTGTCTTTCTGTCTCTTTCTGGTGAGCACATGTGTCCTATAGCAAAAACCTCTCCAAAAATAAAAAAAGAAAGCTAGAAATCACCCCCCAGGGAGGATAGCCACGCCACAATCCCTTCTCCTCCATTCTCCTCTCAGGATCCTGGGCATGCACGCACACGTGCCTGGTGTGAGTTTAAGCCACCGGGTCAGACTCTAACCGTGGTTGACTACGTGGGAGTCCAGCGACATAGCCATTACACTAACTGCTGGTCCCGCTTTTCTTTTTTCAGTCTGTGTTCTGTTCAATATATAGCACCTAGAAAGGGTCTCTGGCATATCATAGATATTCTTATATTCATGCAATAAGTGAAAGGGACTTGACCTTTATCCTAAGGGCATTGAGTCCCCATGGAAGGTTCTTGAGTAGTAAAGGGGTGTTTGAAAAATGTTCTTGGAAGGGGTTGGCAGATGCTAAGGTCAGGCTGCATAAGGCCAAACTGGGCTTTCCACACTGCCATGGCCCCTCCTCAGGTTACTTGCAGACTTGATCCTGTTGAACCGCCCTGTCTCCTCCATCTTTGACTGGCTGTGGTGCTATGTGTGTCCAGCTGTGCTACTAATCCTGTTTGTGGCCATCCTGGTCTATCTTTCTATGGAGACCTTCACCTACATAGCCTGGGACTCAAGCAGTGTAAGCCTCCCTCCCCAGACCCCAGAACTCCTAGTGAATGGGAGACCAGACTTTTTTTTCTTTCTTTTTTTTTTTTTAAATTTTGCTATAGGATGCATTGTGTTTGCCGGAGAAAGAGAGAAGGAGAGAGAAAGTTAAAAAGCACCTCCGGGGGGGTGGGGTGGGGGTGGTGACCATAATGCAATTCCTGGTCCTCCATTCTCCTCTTGGGAGTTTGAGCACACAGGCACACATGCCTGGCATGTATTTAATGTCACTGGGCCCAGGACCCTAACTGCACAGTTGGCCATGTGGGATCCAGGGCCTTAATTACCATGCCACCGGCTGGCCCCGGTCCTTTCAATTCACTCTTGGACAAAGAATCTGGTCATCTCATTCACTCACTCCTTGAAGCCTCATTAGTCCCCTGCCATAATTCTCTTCCTACTCTTCTGCATAATTTTTCCTGTTCTGGGGAACTTAGATGTTCTAAACCCTTTTCTCATTTCTCCACAGTCAAAAGAAGTGCTTCGACAATACCCAACATGGACACTGGTCTTGATGATCATCATTTTTGTCATTGTCATCTTCCCCATCCCTGTATACTTCATATACTGCCTCATCCATGGGATTCCCTTCAGGCCCAAGAGTGAAGACAGGGTCATGGTAGCCTCTAAGACCCAACCCCTAAGTGACAAACTACCACCCACTAACAGTGTTCAAAAGGAAGAAATCCCACAAGGTGATAGACAAAATGATGATCAACCTGTCATATGACTTCCTAACTTTATTTATTTTGCCTGACATCACATATCTCTCAAAACAGACTTAACGGGCAACTGTTAATATCAGCTTGCAACTATTTATTTCCCTGGATCCAGAACTGCTCTTATTCTCAAAGGGTGAGGCATTATTTGGGGGGCTAATGGAGGCCTGTCAGCACCTTCCTGGACCCTATCTTCCTGGTTACCACAGTCTCTGTGTTTTCCCCATCCCCTTCCTCAACACACACAAACCCACACTCAGTTCATACACGATGGTGATGCCTATCAAACCTGTTGCTTCTGATGTGCCTGCCTCCAGGTAGGGAGCTGGATTAATAATGCTATTGGTCAATAAATCAGTCCAATGGAACTCTAAACACTAGGTGTGAACAGATCGTTTTTTGCTTGTGTGTGTGTGTGTGTGTGTGTTTTGTAGGTGTCTTAGGTATTCACTTTTTCCCTCACAAGGCTTCCATACTTTTTTTTTTTTTTAAAGAGAGATTTTTTGCTATAGAGCACATGTGCTTGCCAGAGAGACAGAAAGAAAGAAATCACCCCCTGGGGGATGGCCATGCCACAGTCTCTTCTCCTCCATTCTCTTGGGATCTTGGGCATGCACACACATGTGCCCAGTGTGAGTTTTAAGCCACAGGATCTGAGACATAAACAGTCGACTACGTGGGAGTCCAGCGACTTAACCATTACTTCATCTGCTGGTCCCAAGGTTTTCGTTTTTTCTAGAGCCAAATGTCTAGCCCTGAGCTTTGGCTTCTTGCCCTGGCAAATTCAGATGCTGGAATACAGACTTGCCTTATCCATAAACTGGCCCAATTTTGCTGAGGGAAACCAAGGAAATGCTGGCTTTAGCAAAGATGGAAAGAACATTAATGTGCTTACTACTGAGAATGGTGATTCCATCATAGGCCTAAAGATTACTTCAGAAAACGTGAATGCAGGGCCAGCCAGGGGCGCAGTCTTAACATGCTTTCCAGCAACGCTGGGGCCACAGGGAAGATCTCTGTGTTGCCCTCATCAATCTACGCATGCCAACAGGGTGCCACCACATAACCCAAGGTGGTCGGGAGGGCTAGAGGGGGATCCTGGTGTGGGACATCTGTGGGTGCCTGGCTTGTGTGTTTTTTCTCTCATGAAAGAAATTAATAAGCTTAAAAATAAAACGCAAGATGGGCCAGTAGGTGGCGTGGTGGTTGAGACACTGGGCTCCCACATGGCCAGCTATGGTTTGAGTCCTGGACCCAGCGGCTTGCTTTCTCACTTTCCCTCTTTCATTTTTTCTCTGTGTGTCTCTCTCTGATCAAATTAAAACTAATAATAGGGAACCAGCAGTTAGCGTAATGGCTATGTCGCTGGACTCCCACGTAGTCGACTGCGGTTCGTGTCCGGGACCCGGTGGCTTAGAACTCACGCTGGGCGCGTGTGCGTGTGTGCCCAAGATCCCAAGAGGAGAATGAAGGAGAAGGGATTGCGGCGTGGCCATCCCCCATGGGGGGTGATTTCTCGCTTTCTGTCTCTATGTCTCTCTCTGTCTGTCTGGCGAGCACACGCGCCCTATAGTGAAAACCTCTCAAAAAATTAATAATAATAAATAATATTTAAAATAAAAAACTCCCCAAACTGGTCATTTCAGTGTTTCCGACACTGTTGTGGACCAAGTACTTCTGGAAGTCTGTTGATGGAAACAACCAAGCTCTGCAGAAATAATTCAAATGGTTTGTTCTAAGCACAAATACGAGTGACCAAGGCCTGGAAACATAATCACTGGCATCCCAGAGGAAGTGTTTTGTGGTGCTTAGATGTAGCAGCTCTTTTATTCAGTTCTGAGAACACAGCCAAATGTGTGAGTCAACATATAGGGCCTTTACATTGGTCTGACCCAAAAAAGGTGGGACATCTGGAAGTAGGAGCTTACAGGTTACAGATGTGTTTACAAATTGGGACCAGCAGGTGGCGTAGTGGTTAAGGCACTGGAATTCCCACATGGTCAACTGCCGCTTGAGTCCTGGACCTGGCGGCTTGCTTTCTCACTCTTCTTCTCTGTCTTTCTCTGGCAAAATTCATGTGAAAATAATAATAATAAATAAATACTTTTTTAAAAAAAAGAAATGGTTGGGTTACTAACTGGTTAAAAGCAGAAGTCTTTGTCTCAAAAAGACTCAGAGCCAACAGAAAAGAATGCTTGAGTTTAATTTTAACATAGATAAGGCATACTGTGTATCACACTCTGCTAGGCCAGGGTCAGCATGTGGGGAGCATCCCACAATCACTGCACCAAAGCAGTTTGTTACAGTAAGATTACCGCTTGCAGATGTGACTCCCCAAGGCCCCTTCGATGACTCTTAAAATAGGAAGAGTAGGCAGAATTCTACCCTTAAGTGCATGCACAAACTATCTGAGGAACTCCCAAACTGTATTGCTGAGCACACCGAAGGTCATGCAGCTGCTTGGTAAGACACGGGGCTCATTTTATCATCAAGCCAAATCAAATTAATTTGCCCAGTAGATAACGAAGTATGTCTTTCGGACTTGTGGGAGGGTGACTCTAATAACCAAGATGACCCCCCCCCTAAAGGAGATCCAGGCAGTCAGTGACTGAAAATAGGGACTGTGGGCAAAAGTGGTTGGCATTCTCAAAGATCCAGGGAATCAGTTTCCGTTGAAAAGCTCAAAATCATTTTCCCAGAATTTTGGATTGCTTAAGGTCCACAGGTAAGTTTCTGTGAAAAAGGAAGGACAAGAAGGCATCCCGGACCATTGGCGAGTGGGACTTAAATGGTTAGTGGACAGAACAGCGTCGGAAGCCTCTACCTCTGAAGTCTCACGCTTCTCAATCTCGAAGACGGGAAGGCTGGAGGGGGCGTGAACCTGCATGTCATCATTCATTGGTTCCTCTACCCTTGTAGCCCCGCCCCTCACCCTCACTCCCCTCCCACCCGAATCCAAACGATCTGTCTGACTCGGACTGTTGAGTGGATAAGGTAGGCATGGGAGGAAGAGGACGGTGGCCTTCTCGTGGTAGAAGTAGTCCAGGTCTTCAACCTCCTTCCTTTTGGGACTCAGATGCTCTTCCTCCTTTCTGTCCCCCCTTCCCCCTTCCCACGTACCAGCGTTAGGAGTGGAACTTGTGACTGAAAAGTAGGAGCTACCGCTAAACCCAAGGGGCGGAGTGAAGGCTTTGATACAAGAGTATTTTCTCCCCTGGGGCACTTGGGGGCCGTCCTTTTGCACTTAACCACACGGTTGGTTGTGTTGGGAGTACTCCACTCTGCTGTAGAGAGTACTGAGGGAGTGGTAGGAAGACCATTGCAGGTACTTGTCCCCACCGCTCTGCGGATTCTTATCTGCAATTTCCTAGCAGCCCTGGGCGCCATCGGATGGTTTTCTTTTGGACTGCTGTTGAGACCCCCCAGCCTTGTTCAATAGCACAGAGCCAGGTCCCTTGGTAGGACATCCTTATACATGGCTTCACTAAACTCACAAGGATGGGGTTAAGTTACACGTATTGTCATCTTCAGTTTTCATGAAGGGACCCAGAGGAAAGGGTGAGTCAGGGCTGCAGCCTGACAAAGACTGTCTTCTAGTCGTTTATTTTGTAAAATATATACACGGGAACCAGCAGTTAGCATAATGACTGTGTCGCTGGACTCCCATGTAGTCGACCGCGGTTTGTGTCCCAGACCCGGTGGCTTAAACTCACGCCAGGTGCGTGTGCGTGCGTGTGTGCCCAAGATCCCGAGAGGAGAATGGAGGAGAAGGGATTGCGGCGTGGCCATCCCCCCTAAGGGGTGATTTCTCGCTTTCTATCTCTCTGTCTCTCTCTGTCTGCCTGGCGAGCGTGCACCGTAAAAAAACCTCCCAAAAAAAAAAAAAAAAAAAAAAAAAAAAAAGAAAATCACTTGTTAAAAAAACATAATGGAGTGGCCAGCAGGTGGCGTGGTGTGGTTACGGTGCTAAACTCCCATATGGTTAACTGTGGTTTGAGTGTTGGACCTGGTGGCTTGCTTTCTCACTTTCCCTCCCTCTCTGGTCAATTTTTTTTTTAAATTATTTAATTTAATTTATTTATTCATTTATTTTTAATTTGACCATAGAGAGACCAGAGAGAGAGAGAGAGGGAAAGTGAGAAAGCAAGCCACCAGGTCTTGGACTTGAACTGTGGTCAGCCATGTGGGAGTGTCCAGCGCCTTAACCACCATGCCACCTGCTGGTCCCTCTGGTCAATTTTTAAAAAATAATTATTCATGGGAACCAGCAGTTAGCGTAATGGCTATGTTGCTGGACTCCCACATAGTCGACCGTGGTTTGAGTCCTGGACCCGGTGGCTTAGAACTCATGCCGGGCGCGTTTGCATGCGTGCCCAAGATCCCGAGGAGAATGGAGGAGAAGGGATTGCGGCATGACCATCCCCCCTGGGGGGTGATTTCTCGTTTTCTGTCTCTCTGTCTGTCTGGCGAGCGCACACGCCCTATAGCGAAAACCTCTCAAAAATTATTCATTTAATTTTATTCACTATTATTATTTTCTTTCATTTGACCAGAGAGAGACAGAGATAGACAGAAAGGGAAAGTGAGAAAGCAAGCCGCCAGGTCCAGGACTTGAACTGTGCTCAACCATGTGGGAGTCCAGCACCCTAACCATTATACCACCTGCTGGTCTCTCTCTCTGGTCAAATTTTTAAAAATAATAATTATGAATAAAATAAAATAATTATTTTTTAAAAATCATGGCCATTGAAAAAAATTATGTGCGGGGCCAGCAGGTGGCGTAGTGGTTAAGGTACATGGCTGACCATGGTTTGAGTCCCAGATCTGGTGGTTTGAAATTCACTCTGGGTGCGTGTGCATCCATGCCCAAAGTCCCAGGAGAAGAGTGGAGGAGAGGAGATTGCAGCATGGTCAGTGGCCCCTGGGGTGATTTTTACTTTTTTGCTCTGTCTCTCACCTCTTCAGCAAGTGCACGCACCTTATGGCGAAAACCTTAAAAAAATCATGTGTTGCTGTTTGTTGCTTTATCTCTTATGAGTTTGTAATTTATTTACTTATTTTTCTTTTTCAAATTTCCAGAGCACACCTGCACTTGCTTGACAGAGAGAAAGAGACAGAGAGAGAGAGAGCACCACCCAATGGGACACGGTCATGCTGCAACCTCCTTTACTGCCATTCCTCCCTTCTGTCAGGACTGTGGGCATGCACACACGTGCACCCTGTGTATTTTTCACACTACTCGGACCAATATTTGATCTGCGGTCAGCTGTGTGGGGTCCGGCTCCCTAACCATTGTACTATAGGGCTGG